ATCAGCATTATTTCTAGCTTTGAGTTTTTGAAGTAACTACCCACTGCAAAAAAGAAGCTTCCGTGTTGAACCTATGGCAACACTAACTATGGGTATAATCAAGTATTTACAGTGGAATTTGACGGGCCCATCATGTCTAGTTAGCAAAGTAACAGCTACAGTCTCCCCACTGGGTCTGTGGACACACCACCCCCACCACAGGCTTTACACTAGCTATATAGTATCAGATGTGAATTCCCTTCTGTTTATTGGGTTTCAGATCCAGTCAGAGAGCATCTGGTTGTTTCCCTAGCAGTCATGCCTTTATTGCAACAGTTGGGCATGTCCTGGGTGTCATGTTGGTAGTTCAGCATGCTTGGTCCACAGAGATGGACAAATGGTGCTGGGAAACTGAGAACACACAGGTAGAAGATGTATACTAGATCTGTAGATATTATCCTCCAACAAATCAACTCCAAAGACCTTAATGTGAGATAGCAAATTAAGAAATTGTTTGAGGAAATGCAAAAAATGTAAAAAACAAAACACAAAGAACTTCAAGATATAGACAAGAGCATTCTCAATATGACTCCAGTTGCTCAGTAAAGTAGCAAATGATTGACAGAAGGGACCCTGCAAAGTTCAAAACTTCTGTACCTCAATGAAAATATTTAATGCAGTAAAGAGACAACCTACAGAATGGAGACACTCTTTCTGAGCTATGCACCTGACTGTTGCATCTGTTCAGAGGGAGCACTCCTTAGAGAGAGCCAAAAATCTCTGCTGCCAGCCCCACCCCTGTAGATCTGCTTTTCCTGAGCTGCTCATCAGGTTTTCCGTGGAAGACTGAGTCCTGCTTTTGCCGGAAGTGTCTTCAGCTGTGGGGCACTCCCTCCTGTGTCTCCTCTGCCTTGGGGTCCATGCCATCCCAGGAACACACTGAGCTGGGCACTGGGGGAGGCCTGAGCCACTGTTGCTGTCGTTTGATAGGGGGGATGTCTGTTGTGCAACTCGGCTTGGTGACATCACTGTCCTTGTCTGTCATCCTGGGGAGGAGCTGTTCTTCAGAGAGGTCTTCGAGCCACACATCACACCCTCACTCTCTTCTTCTTGTTTTCCTCTTTCCCTTTTGGCTCCATCAAAAGGACCTACTTGAAGACTCACATATGCTTGTCACCCGTGGTCACCCGCTCGTTCCCTTTGTGCACCTTTCTGGTGGCTGTCATAGCTTTCTTGACGTCATCGTCTCTGGCCAAGATCCAGGTCTGGACTGAAACCAACTACCTGGCCAATGCATTGGGTGTGTGGGGTGGTGGGCTGGGAAACACACCTGATGGGTCTGCCTGTGCTCCGGGGCCACGACCCTTCTATGTTAGCACGCTCCAGTGTCTGGATTTATCTTTGTTCATTTATTCTTACCTTTCCTCCAACTTTGTCGGCAAGTCATAGCAAACCACCACCATCTGAAATTATTATACGGCAGGGAGTTCGCTTCTTTCACTGGTGTCCTCCATATTGTCCCGCAAGCGGATCCCATATAGAGGATATTTCCTTGTAACAGCGTGGCGTTTAATGTTAACAAACCTTGACTGGAGAGCTTGCTCAGTGGTCAAAGTGCTTGGCTTCCAAGTGTGAGTGCCAATTCATTTAAACGCCTGGTGGGGTGGCAGCCTGCCTGTAATTCCAGTCTCAGAAGCTAGGGACAGGCTAGACCTAGAGGAAGCTGGGTAGTGAGATTAACTATTTTGGTGAGCCCTGTGTTTGCCTGAAAGATCCTGACTCAGTAAAATGGAAGATGGAGGATGATTCCTGACACCAACCTCAGTCTCATGCATACAGGTGAGCACAAATGTGCATGAGTACAACTTCACACACACCTGTGCCCATCCACTTGTAAGCATGGACACACATTCCAAACATGCACAAACACACACATGAAAAATGGAAACTGCAAAGAATTTCACGAAGCCACTGCTTCTTTAAGGAAATTAGGAAACAAACTGACAAAGCAAATGGCCTTCTTTTGGTTTGGCCTAACAGGTACCTGTAGCTGGAGGGCCCAAGGTGTGTGTGTGTGTGTGTGTGTGTGTGTGTATAAATCCACGAAGGCAGCAAGGGCTAGACTACACCTGTCTGTGGGGAAAAATTAGGAAACACAGGCTTTCTGATGGTAACTTTCTCTTACTTCATCTTGAAAAAAATCCTCTCTGAAAAATCTCTCTTGCTCTCTCTCTCTCTTGCCTACTCATGTTCTTTCCTCAGCTCCTTCTACACACCCACCCAACACACACACACACACACACACACACACACACACACACACACACACACACACTCACACACTCATACACACACTCACACACACACTCACACACTCTCTCACTCCTTCTCTTCCTCATAGCCAAATTCTGGACAATTGTATGTTACGTTTTCAGGGTCCGACCCATTCTCATGACACATAATAGGTCACATAGTTTTTCTCAGGGTAGAAGGCCATGCTGTCCGGCCAATGAGTAACACTTGGCTAAGCAGGTAACCTGAGTGGTTAGCGTTCCCAGACAGAGAATGACACTGAAATTCAGGACTTAACAAGAAGAGAAGTTGCCTAAACCTTGAGTGGTTGGGTACGTGTGGAAAGAGAATTACTGCGTAGGGTTATAGCTACCAAAGTTGCTTCAGTTCTGACCTCAATTTAGTGATAAACACCTGGAACTTAGGTTTGTGAATTCTCTGCAGGGGCAGTTAGTCTGTTTTGAATTTGTTCTGAAATCTAAAATTAACTGTCTTTGTGACTGAGAATTCTGTTGCTTTCCTGTGTCACTATAAAAAAATATCCTAATATTATTTCTACTCATCAGAATTATGCAACTTATATAAAAATCTTCCTCCTGACCAACCAAAGTTATATGTGTGTGCCCAAAGATGGAATATCTTCTTGAGATAAACACACAGGCAGTAGGGAAAGAGCCAACTGGTAATTCTTTGTGTGTATCAATATTCTGAAGTTCAAAGGGGGGAGGACACGTCTCTCTCTAGAGTATCTGCTCTCCTTACACCGCTTTCCCTGTTCTTCTCATGCTTATGGCTCCTGGGAGAGCCTGCGACAAGGAGGAAGTGCTGGGTAAGTTCCCTCACTGTGATAACTACTGAAGCTAACTGGGGGTGCAAACGTGGGCAACCATTAGCTGTCCTTTATCTAAAGAGACCCACTGCAGAGCAGGGACTACTGTTTCTACTGTAGTGGACACCGGGAATCCGCTAGGAGAATTTTCAAGGGTTTGCACTATACCCACCAAATAACAGTCCAGAGTAAGTGGATAAGTGATTTCAGCTTTTCCAAGGGAATCATCACACACTATGTATCAAAGGTACATTTCTTGAAGATTAGTTATATATCACCTTCACTTTTAAAGATGTAAAAGAAAATGTAGACAATATACAGATCTGGATAGAAACGCTAGATTAAGAACAGATATGTCTCGTTTGTTTAAAGGAAAGAAAGTTAATCTGACATTAAAACTAAACCAAATACAGGCATTTGAGCAAACAGTACACAGATAGCAAGTGGGTCAACAAAAATTATCTTAATGAGCTATGATAAAAATGTAAATTAAAACTATGACTAAATGTACTTACATAACTATCAGGGAGCTCATAAAATACAGTGTCAATCCTGACAAGGATTCAGATAAAACTGGGTTCTTCATAGATGACAAGACAGAAAAATAGAAACTTTGCAAAGTAGTTTGACAACTTCTTATAATCGAAAACATATATTTACCACAAAATCAACCTTGATTCATCCCAGACAAATAAAATATGTACATGAAAGATTCATATCATTTTAGTCAAATAGTTCTAATATCTAAAACTTGGAAGTAATCCAAATGCTCTTCAACAGGTAAATGGATAAGCAAACGACAGATGGTACACCCCCCACATGAGGAAATACTACTCGGTGACAGAAAGAAACAAACTTCTCTATTCATTAGGCAAGATCTCAAAGGCACTGCACTGAGAGGAGAGTGGAAGAAATGTCGATCATAAAAGCTTACATATGATGTAACTTATATAGTAGTCTCAAAATGAAAAAAAAAAGTATAGAGCTAGAAACTAGGTCAGTAAGTAACTGTCAAATTTAGGAACAGTGGGAGAGTAGTAATGTGAATTTTATGCATGAGGGATTTCTTTCTGGTAAGAACAATTCCATATCTTAACCACAGTGACAGTTTCATTAATATATACATCGATAAAACCATGAAGAAGTAGAAACATATAAGAATAAGCATTTAAAATCATGAAGAAGTAGACACACACAAGAATAAACATTTGTAAAACTGAAGAAATGTGAATAAGATCCACGGATTGCATCAATCTCAACTTCCTGGTATTGGTACCATACTCTAGTTATGCAACAGAATACCACAGGGGCAAGCCTGGTGAAGGGCTACAGGAGCCTTCCTTGTGCTGCTTCTGAAACCTCCTGTGAGTCTTTACTTGGTTCAAAATGAAGTGGTTGTACACACATTGGCAATTCTTTCATTAAATGTCCTATGTGTTTATAAGCACTATTAACCTGCTACACTCAATATTCAGTTTTGATACTACTGTTCTTTCTTGTCACGAATTTCTACTTATGTGTTGCATTTGTCGACCAACTTTTGCTTCATGCAGCATGGACAGTAGAAAGCTTTTACTGAAAGTCTCACTAAGGAAGTAAAACAAAAGGAGACCTTCATTTTGCTACACTCCTAGCAACCAGGAGCACAGCTTAAAAACCAAAAGCAGGCCTGCCACCCGAAAAGATCTGGAGGATGGACAGCTCACACAGGAAAATGGAACACAAAAGAACAGAAGAATCAAAATTGAGGGAGCTTGTTTGTTTGTTTTTAATATGGAATGACAATAGTTGGGGAAGGAAGTACAAAATGTCAGCCATGAACTCATTTGAGAAACTTCAGAATCCTGGAATAAAATAATGTGTCTACAAAAAAAATAAAAGAACAGATCTGTCATTCTGTTCACCTTGTCCACTCATAAGAAAGATTCGCCGGGCGGTGGTGGCACACGCCTTTAATCCCACTGCTCCAGCCCATGAGACTCTGAAAGATGAGATCCCGAACAGCCATGAGCCAGAGGAAAAGCCACTTGACTGTGTCCACGGATGGCAGCATATAGCAATATCCAATATACCCTGCAACTCCAGATCTGTTCAAGCCGCTGCCTGCTGCTACATAGTACAACAAGTTGAAACTTGTGAGGGCATTAAAAATCCAAAAGAGCAAGACATAGATAAGAACTTGCCATGAGGTCTGTGGTTTGAGCTTTCTCCAACTGGTGATCCCGAGACCGATGGTGACAGCCTGGACCACGCTGAGGAGACAGGTGGTGCAGATGGAGAGGCCCCGGGCCATCCTTGCCAGATAAACCACAGCTTTACAGCCAGTATCACCGAGGAAGTTTCTGAAATAAAACACTGTGGCTATGTCTCTGATCCCCGTGGTACAAATAATAATCATATTAGAAAATGCCAAGTGGATGAGAATGAGGTCCACAGGCTTTTTCTCAGTCCCCAAGGCAGATGTGTATACCTGTCTCACAAACATTAGGATTTTCCCCACAATTCCAGGCCCAATAAGACAAAGGAAGATTATTGTCTGGATAATGTTACTCCACTTCATCTTCTGACTTCATGCACAGTGCTAGGGAAAATCATTTGGGAAACGTGTCAGATGTTCTCTTCTTATTCCAACAGAAATAATGGTTTCAAGTATGTAAACACAATGTTCTTTTCTTAATGATGCCTGGTCAGATTCTTTGTTTTTTGTTTTCTTTTGTTTGTTTGTTTGTTTTTGGTTTGTATTTTTTCCATTCCCATGGAAATCATATACCTACACTAAGGGTATAAATCCTACCTTTATGACGATCCTTATTCCCTCAAGTTCATGTGATCATGCTCTTCCTAGAACAAAGCTAAAAGCGTGGCATCCCTTTCTCAGTTTTCTAAACAACACAGTCCTGATTATTAGCCTGACAGGGCTCTTTCTGTTCCCTCCTCTCACCCAGGGTGACCTCAGGCTCCTGGACTGTGTTGGCTCCTCATCCTGGTCCTCCTCACTGCCCGTCAGCAACCATCACTCAGATGGTTGTGCAACTAATCAAAAGCTTGACACTCCTCCAGAAAACCGTTCTTGACAAATGGACTAGCTTCTCAGGGGAGATTGTGTGACACACTCCACTTCTCATATCCCTGTCCCTGAGAGGCACAGAAGGGAATGTTTTGTGGGATGTAGAGGACCGGATCCTGTCCTCCCACATCAAGGTGGGAGCATGTCTGATGAAGTTTGTATTTCCAACTTTCTAGGTATGACAAACCTTATTGAAGGTGATTTCCTTTTCCTCCTGCTACCTTGCTCTTGCTCTCTCTTTCTACGGAGACTTCTTCTAAAAGTAAACACCACGCAGACATTTCCTAGCTCAGGCACTGGCCTTATGGCCTCTAACCGAAGAGGCATGTAGCTGATTATATGCTTGAAGGTGTGTTGAGACTAACAATTTCTCAGTCAGAAATGCCACAACCTATGAACTACATCTCGCCAATATTCCATGCGAATGTGTAAACTCTTTATGAATGGTATCCTTTCTAATATTTCTCCTTATATATCCAAGTCAAAATATTCTTTTAGGAGCTGGGGATATGGCATAGTCTGTAAAAAGGCACGCTGTACAATATGAGGACCCAAGTTCTGATCCCTAGCAACCAAACAAAAACTGGCCAAAGAAGTGCAGATTTGTAGCCCCAGTGCTGGTGGGAAGGGGTTTGATATGGAGAGAGACATGTCCTTGGAGTTCCCTGGTCAGCTAGCCTAGCAGAATCAGGGAGCTCTCTGTTCAGAGAGACCTGACTGAAAACTGAAGGTGGAAAGCTATTGAAGCAGACAGCCAATGCTGATCTCTGGCCTCTGCTTGCACACACACACTTGTGCAAGATTAACTGCACACACATAACATCCCCCAAAACCACCTACAAATAACACACAATGCTGTTGGAACAGACAACTATGCTATCTGCCTCACCTCTTACAAAACATTCAGAAGGCAATTCAACCTTAATTGTCTTTCTCCTTCACTATTTAGCATCCTTTCCTTATCACAATTATTCCTGAGTTTCCTTCACCCCCTCAAATGTAGCATTGGTGCTTTCCTAGCCACAGGACTGTGCATAATATACCCCAGTTGATCTTTGTCAGGGCATCATGCTTCATGGCTACCTACTCTCTATCTTATCCATAAAAGCTCCGAGTTTCATCTCCTGTGCTTTCCCGGAACTCTCCCGGCTGTCTTCCCTGTGTATCTGCTGCCTTCCTGCCCTGGATAGTGAGCATGCCTCAGAGACACTGCTTTGGTTTGGAGAATCTGCTAATGCACATTCAAAACTAGTTTATAAACAAGTTATTAAATGAGGCGCTTCTTTTTTTTTTTTTTTTTTTTTTTTTGGTTTTTCGAGACAGGGTTTCTCTGTGTAGCTTTGCGCCTTTCCTGGAACTCACTTGGTAGCCCAGGCTGGCCTCGAACTCACAGAGATCCGCCGGCCTCTGCCTCCCGAGTGCTGGGATTAAAGGCGTGTGCCACCACCACCCGGCGAGGCGCTTCTTTTTAAAACTGCACACTAAGCACAGAGGAAAGCTGGCAGCCCCCGTGAAGAAACACTCAAATCAGTCTCTTTCTTATGATACTTAAAAACTGAATGGCCTGAGGAAGTCAACTTAGATTGGGTGACACATTTGGTACACGAATTTGCGAGATTCCATCAGTTTAGTGAAAGACATGAATTATCCTTTAAGAAAAGTACAGTGGTTTAAATTGACTTGCAATATCTCTATTAATTATTTTGTGATTTCTTCTAAGTTCTTGGAGCCATCGGTAATAGAATTTGTAAGAATGAAGTAGCCCTTGCTTTCCTTAACAGTGCTGCATCTGGACTGAAAGAGCTCGAAGTCTAATGCCTACGAGTACCTGTCTAATCCAGGGCTGCTATGCCATATTTTAATAAGCTTTCACATGCTTCAAACCTAAAGCATGTAACAGTAAATTTAGTCTGTGTGAATGAAATGAAATCAAGGTGTCTGTAGCAAAATATGTGGGAGTGGGTTACAAATATACCAAATGCTTGAGAAATACCATAAACTTTAGAAGTTTAAAGTTCATGGTGCTGAGATGATGCCTGAGTTAGTAAAATACCTCAGGAGAGGCATGAGGACCTGAGTTCCATGCCCAGAAGCCCAACAAAAATGCCATGTGGCATCCTGCTTTTAATTCCAGCACTGTGGATGCAGAGAGAGGAAGATCTCTGGGATCTCTAGCCAGCCAGTCTAGGAGAAGCAGTGAGCTTCAGACCTGTGAGGTTGATATCTTGTCCACACACAATCATACACACACATGCACACACATAAATGCAGATAACTCTACCTGCATATACCAATGTACCCCCACCACTTGCACATGCCAACATGTTTTCCCCACCCTGTATACACAAACACACAGACACACACAGAAACACAGACACACAGACACACAGACACACACACACACACACACACACACACACACACACACACACACACACGCATGCATTAAGTTAAGCATGCACAAGAGAATTCTTTACAATCAACCACTCCAGACTCAATCCCAGCGCTCTCATTTCTGCCTGTATCACATTGATCATGTAATTTGGCTTCCTCACATCTAGTGTTCTCATCTGTAACCTGAGGATGCTGCTGTGTCCCATGTAAGCATACTCTGAGGTGTCAAGTATCAGAAACAGAATTAATTTTCTAAAGAAATCATTTTTTTTCTTACCTAAGAGTAATGTCCACTTTCTCCAAGTCTGCAATTGCACACTATGTTATAGTTTGACAAGTTCAGAAAAACAAAATCAGAGTCAGAGGCAAGAGAGCCCTATCTTAAAAGACTGAAGAACATGAGAAATAAGACACTCAGCTCAGATAAAATCATTGATTTTTTTTTAGGGTAAAATGCATATGGCTGTGGAAAGAGTGAGTCCTTCCCCACATCCAGACTGAAATGCCCCAGACCCCTGTGTCCTGTCTCTGCCGGGCCCATGGGATGAGCAGGTCTGCCGCCAAGCACCACGGACTGCTGCAAACTCTCCCTAACCAAGGTTCTGGAGGACACGTAGAAAGTGATAAACTGTTTGCTCTCCGGGTCCTGCTGCCTTCCTTTTGCACAGTGACAGACGAACTGAGATCCTCCTGATTCACACCTAAAGTCACCCTGCCTCACAGTGCCCCTTCCAAAGTCCAAGGCAGCCTCAGTCTACAGTGACAGAGCAACACTCACCTGGGCAGTGTGTGCAGGGCTCAGTGGGTGTCCTCACTGCACCAGCCAGGCCCTGTTTATCATCCCCACTCCCTGTGTTCACAGCAGCTCTCCCTGCTGTCAGGAGTTTGGTTCACCAGGGGAAAAGGGTTCCTTCTTCACATCTCCATCCCTGAGGCCAGCCCTCTCCCTGGTTCTCTGTCATTTGCTGACTCACAAATCATTATGATTGTAATTACAGAGTCTGTGGGTGATGAGGTGGGAAATGAGGGTGAGCAGTGTCCTGAGGGTGCTGCTTTCTCAGACTTGGTTCTGGTTTCCTTCTCACCTCCTGTTACACTGAAGCCAGGAACTGATTGGAAAGAAATATTCCTGATCCCAATGGGTCAATTTCTGAATGTCTGCAAAGTATAGTAACACTGATAATAGAAGATGATCAAGTACTGAGTCACGGCTAATCGCTGATTCCTGGATGAGGGTCATTTTATTAATCACTTCATCTATATCTTTTTGGGTTCTCCTTTAGTTTAAAATGGCAAGGAATCCAAGGCCTGCTTCAGAGTTTTGTGAAGAAAGCAGTTTCAAGGTTTCTTAAACACTGTTGTATTGCTGTGATGAGACACCGTGACTAAGACAACTTATGATGGAAGGTATTGAATTGGGGGCTTGCTTACAGTTTCATAGGGTGAGTCCATGACCACCATGGCAGGGGATATGGTGACGTGGAGGCAAGCATGGAGCTGATCCTCAAGGCAGACATAGAAGAATTGGTTTGAAGCATTTCTTGGCTCTCTGGTGCCCTTTTGGGGACTCATCCTAAAAGATGCCTCGTAATCACATATTTTGACAGTCAAGAGCAGAAGCACAGGCTTGCATTTTGTGTCTCCAAGTCCCAGTAAATGCCCCTCTCCACTGGTCAAAAAATAAAGAGTAAAAAACCCGTGTCTCTCTCTGCAGTCAATCTCTTCATGACAAAATGCTTCAGAAAGTCAAGTGGAAGAGAATAAAGTCTGTATTTTTTCTTGGCACCAATGACAAAAATATATACATGTCTTACAAACACCGGGATCTTCCCTAGGATTGATTCTAGGTTCATCAAGAGAATGGAGGGTTATTGTCTTGATGACATCAAAACTTTGCAAACATATCAAATGGGTAAGAGAAAAAAATATACACAATGTATAATGAAAATGTTTTAAAAGAAGAAGTGGAGATTAATCATGACCTTTTGCTTCAAGGAGAATTAGGATTTTCATTTTTATATTTGTATTCACCCTTGAAAATGCGGTGGGACCTTTGATCCATCCAGGATTCAATTTCCCATTGAAAAGTAAGGATGAAG